CGTGTGCTTCCAGGGAAATTTTGTCCAGTCATTTACATACTACTAATTATGAAACGAATATGTATATATATATTTATATGTATAAATGGTGGAAAAATAAATCCCGATTAGATTACGCTATGTCATACACGGTCATACACCTAAACGCCAAAGTGCACACTAACAAACAAACGACTCAATCCAAACACCTGTCTATCCGCTCACCTCGATGATGATAGTGATCGAGCGAGGAACGTCGTAGCATGCTCAGACGAGAAAATCTGTACGGAAAGTGTGAGAGACGGGAGCAGAGCGACATCGTGTAGATTGATTAGGGGGATGGGAAGCAGTGATGATGCTGATGAAGAACTCTACACTGATTTACCAGGGAGTTGATATCATTACATTTGCAACGTATTCCTCCCGTTTGTTCTATTTATCAGATCAATGTATCATTTTTTTAAAGTCACGTTCGTAGTTGGTTTTTGTTTCGTTTTTTTCCATAGCTGTTGCTACCATAATGGTTTCTCGTGCTTCTTCCAACATGACCATCATGGCACCCACATGGTGTTAATCAAACCGATTCGTTGTTTCTGGATTGGTCGTTTCTCGTCCTCGCATTAGTGAACCTGATCACGACATGTATGCTAGGGAAAAATCAATAAACACTTAGCAGAATACTATCTCATTCTGATCCATAAATGCATACGCACATCTGGTTTCAGTGGCTCCTCTTCATTTTTAACTTCTCACACTATATGAACATCGCCGCTATTAACGGTACTACCACTATCATTGTTGTTTTTATCAACGGTAAAAAATGGATAACCATCATCGTCGTTTTCCATTGCTTGTCTCTGAACGCACGTGTGAACTGTTTCAGGGAAGTGCCTTGAATTATTGTTTGAACTGGAAGCGGTGGTGGTCGTTGTTTCACAGCGTTCCTTAGCTGGTTAGTTTAAACCCATTCACAGCACCGAGGTGTTGTGTTCGTACTCAGGTTTTGCGACAGCGCAGCACAGAGGTCTGTTAGAACCAAAACCACATGACACTGTCGCCCGCATGCGATCACACGGAATCTCATGCGGGTCAAACACACCTAGGAACAGTTCAATCGGTTCTGGAAAAAAAATGTTGCCAACCTGATTACACGTGTCGCTGCTGTTGATATGCCAGCATATTATTCCATACCCCACGTTAACATATCTCTCCAATTGCAATCGAAAGTATCGGAAAGATCTATTCACTATAACCCCTCTTTTCATACCTCAAATTCATATCACTTATGGACTTCTATGTTTTCCTGTGCCACTGTGTGGACCAAACGATTTAATTCTCTTATTACGTATTCGGAGCTCTAAGTGCCAGAACTCGAACCCTACCACCGAGGCAGTTTCAGTTTGTACAACCATTAACCATGGGCTATCGTGCGCCGGTTTTGGTTGCTATCTTTCGGTTGCCCATTTGGATCAACATTAAGAGAAAAACAGGAAAGGTTGAAAGTATGATCGAAGAGAAAATTGAATAGTTTAACGGATTAATGATACAGAGAAATTGAGAAGATGCACGAACGCCACCGTTTACGACACCCAGTCATATCACTCAGTGTCTCTAACCATCGGTGACCATCATCCCGAGGTCTCCATCCAGTGAGCAAGTCTCTTGGTTAAGGTTTTCATACCCTCATGCCAGGTCTTAGCTTGACCATCACGGAGACAGAACTTTGATGATAGCCGGTTTCGTTGTCGTCCGCTTATGTAGCTGTTAGTTTCACTTATTTCCACGTCCGAAGGCATGGGTCGCGCGGTCCAGCGTTTTGAATTGATGTTGATAGTGGCCGTGATGTTGTAAGCACCTGACCACGCTCCAACTCGCAATGTGTACGAAATAAGTTCGACTACCTGATTTTATTGTATTGGAGACACAGGACACACGAATTGCGAAATTCCTTCTGCTGGAACAGGAAGGACAAATCCGGCAAACATCGCGCGTATTGGTATCCGATTTGATGTCATGCGTACCTCATGTCTCAACCAGCGTAATCTATGGAAGTCGACCACTTGTTTCAGTGGACGATCGCGATGATCTAAAACTCTGCGTCTAGCCTCAGCATTCATCATCCGGTTTTCTCATCAGATTCGTGCAATACTCCGTAGACAGCGGTTTCCAAACATCGGCAGTTTACCCTCATCCTGTTTTCTTAATGGGCAAGTTTCGGCGTTGAATAAAAGAACTGACTGAATTGCCGCAGTACACACTCGACCCTTCACGCTCAGCCGGATGTTGCGATGGCGCCACATATGTCGCAGGTTAGCAACTGCCAATCGAACCTTATGCATGTGAGGTGACACTTTATCTGTGATGCGTCCACCGGGTTACATATAACTGCCCAACTAATAAAACTTTTCCGCTTTATCTATTTTCTCCCAGTGAGGATGAGGCTGCGAGCTGAACCACCCCAGTCTTGTAATAACATTTGACACCTTGAAGGTGCCAAACGCACATCGAACATGGCTACACTAGCACTAAAACTATCCATAAAAGCTTGCAACTTACTTGGAGCTTGAAACAATTACAATCAAAAGATATATACACACCTTTATCAAACATCCTCACCTGATAAGCGGCTCCAAGAACTCCACTGCGAACCGTCAGTTCCTAGAACCCACCAATTGCAGTCTTTTTGACTTCCTCCGGAGAGATTGGAGACCTATTCTGCCTAATTGATCAGTGAATTTCTCCTTGCCTCAGTTTCCCTTCATCTGATGGCCTCCACATGAGTTCCTCCAAATTGGGGCAGTCACAACGAATAGGGTCAGGTGCGATGGATGCCAGCTTGGCGTGTGCAAAATCTCACTGCTTAGAAATGCGGTTTGTGACGCCTTTTCACTCTTCTTTCAGCGTTTGTTACATGTATGTATGTATTTATGTGCACATGGATTGGTGCCCTGATTCTGACTACAGAATCGAAAGAACAGAAAACAGGCTGTTGCCGTGCGCACGTTTCATTGCCCTCAAATAGGATGTATCTTCTAACTATGCTGCCCCTTTCACATGATAACCTTTATCCAATTACCGATTTGATCAGTCCGAACAGAAAATACGGCATAAAATCAATATTGTTGGCACGACTCACCACTGTTTTTACCTCCACCATTTCACACATGTGTATGGTTGTTCTGCTCACCCCAATCCTCTCCGCGTTCGGACTTTCCTACTACCAGGCTAATTCCGTGCTGGAAAAGCATCATGCTCGTGTTGGATTGACTATTCTGCATCGGAGTGGCCTCGCTCGTTCGCTGAGCAAGACGACATGGTGAGTGTGTATGTTTATGCGCATCGTACGCTCCCTCCAT